CATGAAACCTGTATTTCTGTGATATCAAAGCCAGAATAATTCTTTTCACAAAGAAAGAAAGTTACATACAAATGTTACATACAACACGTATTGCTCTATGAACTACAATGCAACAGTTCTTAAAAACATTTTTAAATTGAGTCCAGCAACATACAAAAAGGATTATACAACATGAACAAGTGAGGTTTATCACTGGTTGGCTTAACATCCCAAAATCAATGTTTTACTGTATTAACACAACAGACCAAAATCACATTATAATAGTAAGAGATTCATAAAAGGCATTTGACAAAATCCAACACTCATTCATGATTTTTAGAAAACTTAAAAAAATAAAACAGGGATGGGAGGGATCCTCCTCATTTTGATAAAGGGCAACTTCAGCCTACAGCACCAGTCCTTTGCCTTTGCTACAATTACCTTTTAATATTTGTTAACTTGGTTGATTAAAAATACTATGTCAGTTATATAATTAGTGGCTTCTCTAATTGTTTTTTTACAGATGATGTTGCGGTCACCTGGATGGATAGAGTAATCCCTTCCATGCAATGGGCCATTTCAATTGGTGTTTCTTCCTCAATAGTTAGCTCCCTTAACTGTACCATATTTTCAACATCAAGGTTGTGGTATATGGCAAGCCAACAGTGCCAGCTACCTTTGATCTTCTCAACTCTCAATATCCAGTCCTGTCCAATTGTAGCTGTGATTCAGATGCTCATCTTTGCCTCCATTTTAATTATACCCTCAGACTTAATCCTTTTAATAAACTACATGGGGTTCACAGACTGGATTCAACTTGGTCTGATGATGACAGGCTTGCTTAAACTGAGATACCAGAGGCCCCACCTATCCAGAACTTATAAGATAAGTCAAACCCCCCAAAATAAAAAAATTCCCTTCATCTTTCTAAGATGACTTTTGTACTTTTAGTACTTTTTTTCTCATATCTGCACATAAAATCTTTCTAGCCCATGGTCAGACCATTTTAGGAATACCCGATCTAGAGAACAGATTTTATACTTACTTGCTCATGAGAGTCTTAGACCATTTTCAATTTGAAATCTCAGGAGAGAAACCACTGGACTGGTCCTTGTTAGAAAAGGCAGAGGACCCTTAGGATTTTTATATTATAATACAACTAGTGAAATTTGAGTCAAAAGGGACCATACATGGGGTGTCCGATGTTTATACTAGGTCTCAGTGGAAGTGATTGACCAACGTCCAGGGCCAGTGATTCCGTGAGTGTCCTCTGAATGATACTACTTTAGATGGCATTGTAGGCTTGCCCAGGGTTCTTCAAGCTTCTCACCTCAAAGGTCTATCAGTGTATGAGGCTCCAGCTTTAATGGCCAGTGTAAAAGAGCTACACTCTAGACATTTGTGAGGAGTGCAATCACAAACTCACTCATCTCTCAGAAGCTTAGCTCAGAGGCAGGACATCTACGGAAGACGGACTGAGGGATCAGCATTCTGCCTGTTCCTCAAGCCACCAAAACCTTTCTCTATGTGAACTATG